TGAACAAAATTTATGTGAACAAAATTTAGTTCTTTATAAGGCTGCAATTTTTTTATTTTTAAAAATTATTCGAAAACCGTAAAGTACATTGTAGATAATATTATAAGGAATAATGTGCCCAAATTTAAGAATAATCGGATGAATAGTTTCGGAGATCTGCTGGACGCCAGATGACAAGGTTCAGCTCTGCCAGACGTGACGGTAGATAACGTTGTATAACTCCGCAATTTTGCAATTTTAAATAATAATTAATGTATTGAAATAATGTTAAAATGTTATGAAATATCCCTTAAAAAGATCCCAATATTTGACTAAATAATTACTTGAAAAAAAGATTTAAATTTAACTTTTTTCAAATCTATAAGGTGTGTACCCCTTAATTGTTAATGCAATTGTGATTTCTTTCGATATGTTGTATTATTTAATACAATTCATGATTGCATTTCTTCAAGATCATACATTTAAATGAGATAGATTCGATATGCATCACTCCATTGTCTAAGTAGATTTAAATTTTCCCTTCTCGATTTCGCCCGTAGTTTTATTTGCATCCTGAAGTTACATATAACGTCGTGTGAGATGTCTATCTGTTCATTATATAACGCAAGGTATTCCTATGTATCGAGGTTCCCGTATGTAGTCATACTCTGTGGCATTTCTTGAATGCTATGCACTTGACCCCGAAAATTAAACGTGACGTAGCCGGCGTACGCTTCAGTTCTCGCTGGGCACGGATGCTTTCGCAAGAATCGGCGACACTAGCGTAATCGTTGCGAAAATTGCTACGTCACTCCGTTAACCAGGCCTATACCGTAAACCGATTCCTGCGAAAGTAGATGGATGAGGCTCAGAAGTCTGACCCTGATTTGAAACTGATCCCTTCTACTTTCACGATCGATTCTATACCTACGTATCGTGAAATCCTCGATACAATGGGCGTACTTCCCCAACTTTTGATCTGCTTCTGACGTCAGGCCGGTTAATCAGGTGCGGCGTTACTCCTCATAAACCGTGGCTCCAAAACCCACAAACCGTTATTACGATGTCCTACTCGTAACAAGATTTCCAAAGTTGATGTAATAGAAATGGTTTAGTCACCTTCGAGATCCTCCAATCGCCGTCGATCCGTTACAGACTCGTGACAATTTCGTGGTAACTGGTTTGACTGAACCGAGTTAACTACGTAACTGGTATGATCAGGATCAAATTCTATTAGTCATCACTTATGAATCCGTGTCTCTGCTGAGAATAGAATTTTGATGGCGCCGACATAAAGTAAAACTTAAAAACGAAGGAAATCGAAATTACTTACTCGTTGAGGATTTGCATCTCGATGGATAGAAATTTCGATGAATTATTTAACATCGATTACCTGCGGTAACATTTAACAATGATTCAATTAACATGCACTCATTCCCCACTATTCAGGAAGTTTCCTCCGCGAGTTTGTCAATGGTTGACTCACAGCCCGGAAACTTTCCAAGAAAATGTCTATTGGAAACATTTCGAACTTTTAATCGGGAAGGTAGTTTTCAAATCAAGAGTCTTTGGTGCATCGTAGGTAGGTGAGGAAGGCCCACACGGATACGTGACGATAGGTACGTAAGGGAGCCAGTGAAAAGAAACGTCATCATTGATTTTAAGTGGGAGGAAAAGTTGTTGGATAGGATTCAAGTGGGAAGTACAGGTACGAAGATAGGGAGATCAGAAAAGCACGAGGGATATTGAATAGGAAAATAATATTGTACAAAATTTGCAAAGGACTGCAGTGCACTAAGTTCATTATGGCTGTGATTAAGGCAATAAAAATGGTCGCTTATCTATCAAAAGAACAGAAGTAATTCGTCACTTCAAACGTGCTGGTAATTGAAAAACTATAATTTATTCGGTATTCTAGAACGTCCGTAAACATTTTATACAAAGTCAATATTTTGAAAGTCTCTCGATTACGGCATCAAGAACTGCGTTCAGTCGCCGACTACGCCACGTCCAGTATCATCCGGGCACCGAAAAAAAAATCATGGAACAAGTTCGTCGATTACAAATTAATCCTGAAGAAGGTCGAATAAATTGAAGAATCTATTAATAATCGACTGCAAAGATATGCATCGATGCAAATGAATCATTACGTACGACAAGTTTAATCGTAACGCGTCTACTGCACAAGCGAAGAAATAGACTGAAAAACAGAAACGACGCGAGTTCCTCATTGTCATTGTCATCTTCATCGAGCATGCCCACGAATATGCTTGTTATCCCTGTAATCTTGGATGTAATTAAACGATGCTGTTTCACGAACAGCGAGACATCGTAATTATTGCTGTTATCGTAATTTTCTCCATTATTAGTGTTGTTCACCGAGTGTTGTATCCACAGAAGTGTAACAGAACCGTATAGGTATAGACGCACGCGTATGGACCGCCACTCGAATGTCGTGAGTCGCCATTGCCGCTTATTAATTACACGTTCGAGTGACGACCCTTTTTGTCGATATTGCGTAAAAAAGTCTCGTTAATGATCTCGATAATCATCGGGCGTCGCGTATTAGTCAACAACAACAATGTACGAAGCTGCGTGTACAATGACGCTAATGACGTATTTGTCCACCTGTGTGGGATGGTTCACAAAAAGCACGGTCTTGGATACGATTCATTTGTAAAAACACAGTAACGTACCGCTGCTTCTGTCACGGAGGAAACGAACCGGCTGACATCGTCTCTTCCGTAGCGACCACGGAAAAAGTGTTCGCGTGCCAACCACGGAACGTTCGTGCAGCTGCGAAGGACCGAGATTCTGGACGACATACCGCCGGGAAGTCTTTCTAAAATGTAGCGAGTTCCCGCGAAACATAGAGAAAATTAAAAATTGATGCGGTGTGATCGGATAAGGATTTTTCTCGAATCGCTACTAGAAGTATAATTATCATTTCAAGTAGAAAAATAATCATTACTTCCTATGTATCATCGGTAATTTTCTTTGAAATACATTCATAAATAAATAAACAATCTTAATAAAAAGAGACTCATAGCAGGTACAAAGACTATTTCTGATGAACATTACAGATGTAATAGAAAAATCAATCAAAATTGGATTGGTACAGCGTGGATCGTTTCATAGAATAACAATGGTAAATACACAGCATCCATCCTAAGGACAATTCGATCATCAATGATCTGTGGTAGATGGTATCGATAGTGCACCTGTGGGTGCAAGGTTGGACGGACGAGCCGTGGAGCGTGCCAGTGTAGCATCGAGTTTCCAGCAGGCTGATTGTGAGACGAAGAAGTCCAGATCGTTTCGTTTAGATGCCCCGGCTTATACTACGTCCGACTGGCGGGGATAAACCCATGGCGGGCGTTTAGTGGGAAGAGTTGGTCCCTCGCGGGGAGTTATGAATGAGTCGTGGAGTCCTGACCCACGAGTCACGCGTAGTGGGGGGACGCGGCAGTGGTGAGCGTGAAATAAAGAGGTGGGAATCCGTCGGGTGCCAGAGGCGGAGGAGCAGAAGGAAAAGACGTTCGGTGGAAGAAGGAAGTATAGAGGAGAAGCAAAGGAGTAATAAGACGAGTAAGAGAGAAAGAGAGAGACAATGGGACCGTGCGAGCGGAAGGGGGGAGAGAGTGAGAGAGACAGAGTGAGTGTGTGTGAGCGAGTGAGCGAGTGAGCGAGCGTAGTGGAGGGGGTGAAGAGGAAAGGTGAGAAAGCGAATGACGAAGGAAGGGCGAGGATGGTGGGGATACATAGGATTGACCGAAAGCGGGGTACGGGCCACGTGCTACGATGCCTTACAATCGTATATAGGCACCGGTCAACCGAGCGACCACTACCATACACTGATAGTCATATACTCGGGGCGCACCAGATAAAAAAGGGAAAGAACACCAGTCAAAGAGGACGAAGGAAAAGAGGAAGGAAAGGAACGAAGAAAGGGAGGGAAAGAGATTACAATAGATGGAGAGGGAACGGACAAGAGAAACGACCTACCGACAACCGAGGCAGAGAGAAGTCCACCTTCCACTTCCATTCCCTTACGCAGGTTCACTCCTACTATAACGACGACCGAACCGAGCCTGCCTCTGCTCGCTCGCCTGCCTATAGCTGGCTTCTCCTTCTCTGTTTCTATACCGACCTACCTACCTACCTACCTTCTCCGCGCCGTGGTTAACTCGACAGAGACGAGAGGTGATACACTCGATACACTCGGCCGAACGAGGGCGACGAAGACCTCTCAGTCACCTCTTGACATTCGGTATGGTACGACCTTACCCCACTGGCATGCGATTAAGAACGTATCAACGGAGAGGAGGGCTGTGTCTACATCGAACCTGATTCGAACCGCGATATCGACGGGGACACTTGGTGAAAGGGATAACGGCGGAAGAAGATGCAACAAGGGGATAAACAAAGAAAAGGACTATAAACGAAAGAAAAGCAGGCGTCGCGCGCGGACCACCCTTAACTGTGTACCAAGCCGATTCTTTTTCCTGTCCTTCCGTATCCCCCGCCATATTCTTAAACACCTACCTCCCTCCTACCCTCCCTCTTTCTCTCTCTCTCTGGGACAGCTCTCGCAACCCCCTTCCCCCTCGTATAAGAATCACTGCATCGGTTGTGTTGAGACCAGTGCTAAACGGGTTGTGATTCTGTGCGGACAGTTTTTCAAATTGTGATTGTTCCCGATACTCGAATGTGACCGGTGAAATTGTTCTACGATCGAACAGAAGTCCATTATAACCGTTGTGCCTCTTAACGATAACGTCACACCATTCCACGGATACCGCACCGCACCGTGTGCGCGTTACATGATTTCGAATAGTGCGGATTTCAAACTTCCGATCTCGTTAACACGCTCGTCGACAGAGAGTACCGCACTGATATACTTAACAGTATATGTATACACCATATACATATATTAGGTACGACTCACTTGCTCCTTAGGCTGCCACGCGCCATCGCGAGTGCTTGCGGTGCCGACAAGAGTGATAAAGTGCTATGCGAACATGACAGCCGTAGAAGATACAACGATCCCCTATGATCGACAGATGACGATGGAGGCGATCCTCGCTCGTGACCAAAGGACCACGTCGCACAGAGTTCACGATCATCGTGCTGTCCAGAACAACGTGACAGCTATGACAGCAACTGCCATAAAAACGTCAATGAAACAGTGCAAAAGTCTGGAAGCGAATGCTCCGTACGCAGGTGCGATCCCGTCCAGAATAAAAAAGAACGATCATGCACAGAGACACTTGCAAAGTGATTCATACCTCGTACCTGCATTTTACGACGATCGAAGGATACGATCGAGACACAACGCATCCATCACCGCGACCACGTGGCTGAGTAAGTCGAACTACTGTTGCTTCTGTCGCCTCCTTTCTTTCTCCTTCCCCTTTCTCTTACTCTTTCCTTCGTGTTTCGTTTTGTTTCGCGGAATCGATAAATTTATAGAATAATGTATGTTGGTTCGGAAACTTGTTGAAATTAGTTATTAAAAGGCGGTTCATGTATAGAGAAACGGCAACACTTCAGTTACATGATTCCTTCTATTTAATTTTCGTCTATTTAACCGCGAACAGCATCTTGTTAGAAGATGTACCGACACGACCCGAAAAATATTATACAAGCTAGGATTTGGAGAGAACAGGTAGTGGACGTTAATGGTTTCTTGGGGATTCAACTACGGAATAATCAGATATTATTAAAAGACTGGTAGTTACGGTGTAGAAGCGCTGGCATATAAATCAGGGACTTGAAATAATCATTTTCGTGTTAAGCGTTAAACAGTTGTGTAGATGTTTGATTTTATTACATCCACTTACAACTTTAATACGTGATGCGTAGAAATAATAAGCATACGTTTATTTTTATCTACATAGTTTGTTCTGTAGATGTTACATTACCATGTGTCTTTTTATCTTGTCTTCATGCTCGTTGTCAGAATAAAAGTTGCATCCTCTTTCCTGTTGCAATAACTTCTCTGAATTGATTAAGGAAACGCATCAAGATATACATGTTTTGTCATTCATTTCTATTGTAATATATATGTACAAAACTACAATATCAATCAATATCTGCCAAATACAGTTACTTCGGCTATTATTCCACTCTACGTACCTTTTTTTGATGACTAAACAACGAGGAAAGGTAGATTCAACCGACTAACATAAAATATTCGATCGTTTATTGTTCACCGCGAATCTTCCGATTAAATGATCTATCATGATTTATAACTTTTTATTAATCCTAATTATAACTTACCAGTTAGGTATCGTATCAAAGATTTAAGTCATTGTGTAGCTAAATCATACTTATTAGAATTCATTATCATTTTACGTATTTCTGTCTTTGGTGTGTAGTATTCATCCATACATCTGATGCTGACTCACGTAAAATTAATGCTTTCTTACGTAACGAACGTCCTCATCTTTCCCCGACTCTGTTTTCTTATCCGTTTCTAACACTTTTACTTTCCTTCGCTCGATCTTGAATCGATCGTAAGAAATCCGAAGTTGGGCTCTACTTACATGTTTCTTTAATTTCCGTTTCTTTTTGATGGCTAGTTGACTGTTTCGTTAATGATTCTTCCCTAGCGGAGACTGCTTGTCGCCGCAAGGCACGATTCTGATATGCCGCAAAGTTCGTATGACTTCGATTTACGTTCAAGCGAGATATTTAGTACAATTTGGAACGATTACCGACATTCGTCCCTATCGTTATGCGTCACAAACGTTCATTTCGAAGTCGAACATCACAGAAGTGAAAGATAATCCACGTGTTGCGGTGAAATTTCAACGTAGCAGGTGCTTCCCAAACGTGACCCAGCAATATTTTCCCGTTCATCAATTGTTTCTCGTGTATGTATTCCTATTCACGATTTGACGTCACTTTTGAGCAAGTCGATGAACGCGAATTAGTCATTCTCTTTGTAACGGTCTTTATCGAATCTTCGTTTGAACAGTTCGAAAAAATTGTCCTGTGTAGCAGTAATATATATTTCACGTTACTTCTTTAACATCACGATAAAGCGTTTATGAAACCGAGCGGAAAATGTGATACCATTTTCATTGGGGGCGTGTACCTTTAAAACACACCCACCTGTTGAGCGTTCGCAAATCTATAGCTAGTGTCGGCTGGAGCTTCAGCATTCGTAGTGTTCGCCGGGTGTAGAACCGCGGAAAGTACTCGTAGGCGGTAATCAGGATATAGTTGGGATAGAGATGAATCATTTCGCAAAACTAAATAAGGTGGTAGTATATAGACTGAAACATTTTTCTATGAAGCTCCATTTTTGACGAAGTCAGTATTAATTCTGATGTGTCTGGTGACGTTTACATGGCAATAACGAATTTAGCAATATCAGTTCCGCTAAATTTAGCTAATATTCTCTTGGATTTGGCTATTATTAAGAACTTAACAGCGATATCTAAGGAAGTTAGCTGTGGCTAAACACTCCCGCAGTCATCAAATTTTCAAGATTCTCTTCAAAGTTCAAAGACTTTAAGAATATTCTCCACGATGAAATTCTGTTAGATTCTAGATAAGACGCAACCCTGTAACAAATTCGAACAGAATTACGATTTGGTACAGAGATTGAAGTATAATACTATGTAGGTTGTTGTATGGCAAATATCGGTTTGACTGATTGATTTTATGAGACAATCTTTAACAGAACACTTTTAGTCGAAGTAAGATCCACTTGAACCGACAGATTCTTACCAACGAGTAACAAACTTCGTGATATCATGTTTAACGATTCTTGGGTATGCAGAATGAAGTGAGTTGGAAAAACGACATTTCTTGTGCAACAGTCTAATTGTTTATCCACGGTGCAGTTATAAGGACAGACTATCACAGAGTCCAAGTCGCTTCAATTGCCCCCTGCGCAACTGACGAGTTCGCTGGTGACATTCAAAACCGCTGCGGTATTAAAGATCTACGTAAGCAGTTAGGTCGAAGGAAAAATGGACAGAAAACGGCGTATAATAAATCGACGAACGTATATACCGTGTACCGCAACCTACCGCAACGCACTCCGGTCCGGGCATGGACACGATCTGGGAGATAAGAGGGTGGCGGGACGGGCGTAATGGGGTATAATTGTCGCAAGCAATGCGAGGACAGTGCGTCATTACCGCATTTTTCAGCATCTTCTTGCCAGCCAACGGCAGAGATGCGTCTTGCACCGGTGTTCACAGGCTTTGCACGCCTTACTTTTTTCCACGCGGCCGCGGGTTCTCTGGAATTTCGTTGGAACGCCGTCGCCGAGCGTCGTCGTTGAGGTAGGCCCTAGCTGTACCGTCGACACCGTCCAGGCCACACGGGGCGAAAGTAGAAAAGACGCGGGTACCGACCGTTAGATGACCGCCTACGAAATATCCGTGATTAATCGTATATGACGAAAGACTTGTATGCCTGTTTCGATGAGAATCGGTGAGATCGTACGCTACGCGGACGTTCCGGCAGGTTAATTCGATACCTGGCTAACACTTAAAATACAACCATTTGTTTAAAATTCAATGAAGGTATTCAAGAAGTTTGGCAAATAGGTGGAGCTTGACAGCGTCTGCCACGTGTGTTCTGTTGTACGAATAAATGTATCGACGACGTCACCCTAGTTTTCGCGACGAGAAATGCTTGTCAGCGAATTCGCGTCAGAAGCGAGATAAGGGGGATGGTGTCCGCATATAGCAAATCGGGCTGATGCATTCCGCCTGGCAAGGTTGCAAGTTACAAGCCACAGGTGGCTCTTTGGATTTCTTACGCCTTAAGAATGCGAACTTGCTCGAAAGCGTACCTATCATCGTAATTCCGTTCCCGGACAAATTTGGCCGGCCGGCGACAGGCATATCGCGCGGCAATTAAATTCCATTAGCGCAAAAACGTGGCGCGATTAAAGAAACCGGCGAAAGTACACACGATGCGTACACACGAGCAGGACAAGTAAGGAAATATAATCGTGGACACCGTGATCATTTACCTGGATCCCGCGGCAACTTCTGGTACGATAAAAATACCTGCCACATTATTGAATAGGCATGTTCTCGAAAGTATACGGTCATTTGCGCGGGTTGTCGGAAAAGTCAGACGCTAACGATATCGTTCCGACGCGGTTTGCTAGATCTTAATTGCGCGTTCGCCGTTTCAATTGTCGTTCCATTGGAACAAGGCACCGTTCTCTTCCTATTCCACGGCAGAAGGGAACCGAGATACGTGCAACGTTCGTCTAATTTCTACATGTGAAAAAATCAACATGTATAATGAAAAGCAAGGAAAATTGACCAAGAATACGTCACGTGGCGATGCACGCGACAGTAAGAAAATTCACGTGACTTCCATCGAAACTGTCTGCAGACCGCGAAACGTGGTTGTGATCTATCTACCTATGACCGGAATTCCAATACAATCTGTTCGGTTAAAGTCGTGGCGCGTGCCTTCCTGCCTATCATCGAACATTTCTGTCTATCGAATTACAAAGAATCAACAGCGAGGTTCGCAGCGATTACCGCGGGTACGTACCAATAAGAAAAATACCACCGTTAGTCGGTGTATACAGGTCGACATTGTTTTCACGGTGATTTTGGGGTGTAAACTTCCTCCACCCGAGGGGGCAAATTATTCTCTCACCAGGACGCGAAACGCACTTAAGAGCCGCTCATTAATATGCGTTAAGTGTCCGAGATGTCTCCACTGTTCTCTCCCTCTTACGTTTCTTCACGCTCTGTATCTTTCTCTCTTTCTGTGTCCGTTTATTTTTCTCCTCCGCGACCAGGGAACGCGTTCGTCGCGCACGTTTTACCACGTGTAACCGCACATTAAAATTAAGTTTGTCGTCGCTCGACTGATCGTACACTGTTCCACACTATTCGTTTAGCTTCGTCTATTACGATGGTCACATCGAGCAAAAGTGTTTTCGATTCAGTCGCGTGTCACTATTTCGCGTAGGTATTGTTTCAACGATTATGTCGACAGTGAAGGAATCGAGAACAGCCTAGAGTGGTTAGGAAATTGAAAACTATTATAAACACGATCGAGCGCAGTAATGTAATCGTGTGTGGATTTTAAGAACGATTGCGTCGGTTAATACTCTGCTTTCGAAAGTTCATTATTACGGTCTCTTGTATCGGTTGCGTGCACATAGAAACATTGACGTCAAATAACACACGTTTCGACAACTCGACGAGATCTTAATGCAAGAGTGTTTGATCGACCCTCCCGTTACAAATCGGACCGTAAAGTGTTCGCTGGAAGGGACCACCGATACTCGACAATATTACAGGAGAAAGACGGTGGTGTTTAAACGGAGAAAGAGAAAACTTGCACGCGGCGGCGGTCGGCGGCGGTCGGCGGCGGTGGTTATACATCCATCGAATGCGTACGCGACTGCTCTGATGGTTTGTCGTCGTAGCGGTGCACGTGATTCCAGGCCCCTCATCAAGGGTCGTAACTCGTGAAATAATGCGACGACGAATTCACGTGGATGTAATTCGACGAGCGGTGATCCCGAAACTGCCGGATGATCATAAGACGGTCTCGATCGAAATCTACCATTTAGGCGCTTACTATCGACGAGCAGACGTACCCGTGGGTGGGGGGCCGAGGACGGGGAAGGTAGAAGCAACAAGCCGGAAGCTCACGGGATGATATCTTTCGAGGGTATCTTCTCTCGAGTTTCTCATGTCAAATCGTTGATTGCTACCAACCAGTGAGCTGGCTTTTATCTTCTTAATACACGGACGATTCTGTTAATAACGTACCTACTGTGGCAGTTAGTTATGAATTTGAAACAAGATCAACGGGGATTCGATATGTATGCGCATGGAATGTCGACGAAACCGCCATTTCGACGATTCAGTTTCACGTGTTTCATGAATTTTTATGTATCCCTACGTTATGTTATATGTAGAACGTGAGCCTAAATCGGCCTTATTACTTCTATTTTAATTATTCTCGTTGAAGCTGAAATATGTCCATTTCTATTGAGACACATATTCATGTGAATTTGGTCTAAGGGTAAAATCGAATTAAGGAAACATACTTACAGTTTACTGAAATTGATCCGAACAGTGTACAATGGTTAATCAAGTTATATTTCTGCTGTCAAAATATGTGATTATTCACACGTTTCAATTTGATTTTCAGGGTTAGGCAGTCTTCTAGTGACACTGCTCGTGGTCTCGGTGCAGGGCGCTCCGACGATGACCCTTGAGAATAGACGACTGAGTTCGCCCCCGAAGTGGGTGAATCCCTGTGGCCTTGCCGCCGAAGACTTTACCGGTGATTTGGACGTGGTGCAGTTAACCGACTCGCAGCTTCTGCACCAAGTTGTTGTTCAGGCGAAAACGGCGCTGATGCACGCGGAGCTTTTTCGTGATGATTACGTGAGTACACGTTTCTTCTTGATCTTTTTCGCGGTTTCTGTTCCGTGCTCGTCATCCTTGCTCCAGACTCGCACATATTCAGGTGTGTGCTCGAGAAGATCTCGCGATAATTTCACACGTTTTACACACCCGCGATATCGACGATCAAAGACGAACATTAAGTTCATCAATGGTTCAATAATTACTGACGTGACTTCTGCTGGGGATCGGACGGGGAAAGGGGACATCGAGCGGAAGGCAGTTATGGCAGTACTTCCGGTCGTACGGACGTTGATCGTTGAATCCCAGAGGCCTTCGAAAGAGATCTCAGACTTACGAAACGTCTGTTCTACCTGATTAAAGATATGCGTTTGAATTTGGAATTATTTAAGAATGCTAAGTAATTTAAATTAAAACTGGCAAGATGAACCGATCGCAGTGTGACACCGCAAGAAAACGGAAGAATACAACTCGTACTATAAATATACAAATGGAATATCAAAAATCATTTGGATACAACAAAATTAACTCTAGCTTCGAAACAGGAGTTTTAATTGATGTTTTATTGCTTATTTTTCATTTAACAAATGTAATAGTATCATTGTATTTTGGTACACAGTTGAATTTCTAGTAATGTTTTTTTTTTCGGGAAACGTTTGGCACTATATAGTGTCCTTTTTACTTTGTTCAATTTCATTTGCTTATATTCGTAAGTTTCCTTCAGTATACGGTTATCCGTGACAATATAATTTATTCCTGTCATGCAACCAAACGGCAACCACAGACGATTCGCCCGTGTGTTTAAGTATTTGAATGTTCCTTTTGGTGCAGTAGGTATGGTTTCGAAAGTGGTGACAGCGGAATTACCCCGTTTCTCTTATTATGAGCATTACGCGTAATATTTATTGCACATAATTGTACAGATCGAAATTGTAAATGGTTGTCATTACCAGAAATACGATTTCTCAATGTCCAACAGGTCGAAAATTATTCGATTCCTATTCCATTATTGCTGTGTCGCTACCACCTGTGACATTTGTGCGGCGGCAAATACCTACTTCTGCTACTCCTTCTGTGAGTATTATGAAATGTGTAAGCGATCTTCCCCCCTCCAGACCCCACCAAAAAGAAAAATAGATTCGTTCGACCGCGCACGAAGATCCTTCGTTTCGAAAGAATCTTTTTAGCCGATCGTGCCTTATTATCTCTAACCAAGGACAATAAATCATGGTCCCGGTTCGGCCTGGTGCTTCAAGGTTCCTCTTCTGAAACGATCCGAAAAATGAGACGTGGAAACCGCAGGATCGAAGGTACGGTTACACACGCGAAACTTTACTCTCGTTTTTTTAAAGGAAAGATTAAGCTCGTCTCCCTAGTTATGCATCGTGCACACGTGTCGACATGATTTCGGGCCTATAACTGAACGTCCTTACGTGCCCGCCAAATTCCTGGACTCACCTGACTCATCCTTGGCGGTCGCTTTACGCGTTTCCTGTATCTCTATTACTCCGGGACTTGTCCCGAATCGTTGTACGCATCGTGCAGTTTGAATTACACTGTCCCTTCAGGCGGACTGATCGATCGAAACATGACTAAGTATCTTGTATTTTTATCTGTGAATCTCAGGAAAATTTTTATTAAAGAATAGTCGGTATAGAAGTGCTGCAGACGTTGCACTTATATAATATATTTACAGGCTACTGGAATCATGCCTAGATTTTGAAGTATGATCTGAATTATGACTCGTGTCGATGAGGAACTTGTAGGCGTCATTTCGAGTGTACCTATATCGCCAATATTACGGTGTCTGTACAAAGCGACTGTACGAGCGGCCGAATTAGTATTCGCCACGCGCGACCTCGAAGGGTATTTGTGTCTCTGTACGTATACATATATGTATGTATATACAGGGCTCGTTCCGCCCTGTGGCTCCACCGAAGTCACCGTGGAAACGGTCGCTGTTACATCATCGCTCGACGATACCCGATACCGATGTTTTCTAAGTCAGCGCATAATCTGATATCGTTTGGTCCACCCCCTCTTCCGCTTTCTCTCTCTTTCTTTCCTTTCTTGGGAAAAGGAATAATGTAGCACGAAACGGTCTAGTTCTACCGCATAGATTCGCTACAGTTCGCACATCGTTCGTCTCTATCAAATTCGAAGACATCGACACGGGGTGCTGAGGACATTCAAACTGTGATTCTGTGACACCAACGTCAGGCGACGCACTGTCTAGTGGTCCACTGACGTCATCTGTGTTGGGTCTCGTTATCGTTTTAGCGGCGCGGACACTGTCGAGAAAGAGCAGATTAGGAAAGAGTACCGAGAAGCAACGAAGTTTCGTGAGACCATCGCTCTCGGCGCGCAGGTGGCGTGCTTGGCGATAAAATTTCGGGCCCGCGAATTCTTCGTTCGTAATATAACGAAGTTTGCATTCGTTAATCTGTTTCAGGTTTCTAAAAGCAGTAGGTATAATACCTATGTCTTATATGTTTCGTTCAACTTAACATTAAGAAGATATTGCGGAAAGAGTTGGAGTATTTATACAACGAATAGCCATTATTATTTGATCGTACAGAGTAACCGTTAAATTTCTCTAATTAAAACAGAATTTTTTTTTTACTCTATTTTCAATTTCGTGGTAGTGTTAAAATAATCCACATCTTTATGGTCATTATGACAGATTCAATTTTGCTAGGTTTATATGGAGAAAGTATACGGTGTTCGGGCAATTCTTGGTGCTTTGTCTGTGTGTACACAAGTTATAAGCTGCAAGAATCAATGGAGCGGGCGTGTGCATGTGATTACATCCGATATACTGTTCCTCGTGGATAGGAAGTTCGATGTCTATGAGACGCATATACGCGCATCAGTACGTGAAGGAATCGGATAAAATATCGGAAGCGGAGGATTCCAATAAATCAGAATCGGAAGCTGCCCCTCCCCCGCCAAGGATGGGGCATCTATACCCCGGTACTCCGCCTGCATACTAAAACCCAGACCGGATACACAACCCGACAGTGCATTTACTCGCCTCGATACATACAGTACGAACTACGACACGTATTTTCTGCTACTCCACTGGCTGGATGTCGGTCTGTAAGGTTTCATTCAAGGCTGACATATTTTTCGAATACGCTTAGTCTCGACTGATTATTTCTCGCGTCAACTACCAGCGAAAAATACAAGATTCAATTGTTCTTACTTTATGGAATTTATTCCATAAATATCGAAACTATTTTCAGTATCACGGTGAACATTTCTTGGCCTATATTTATGGGTTACTTTTTAGGTCTTTATTCTAATCGTCGAGTTGAAAGGTTAAAAACATTCTCCATTTCTAAAGTAGATACTTAGATGAATATAGATATATTCTTATGGCGTGTCAATGGTTTGCGTTATCTTCTCTTATATAAATTGCGGTATTGTACAGTTACTATTTTCATTAGTTTCTTGTAATCCACATAAAACAATGCTTCCCGTGTTCACTGACAGTTTTACAATACAACATTGTTCCCGTGACGTTTTAATAGAAATGGTACATTTTCACCTGATGTATCACCTGATGACGTATCTTGTCATAGAGTAAACGTAATCTAGCTCTAACTTTTAAACTGAATTTTTAAATGATGATCAGCGAAAGTTTTGACATTTAAAAGTCACGTGACAAAATAAGAGTTCGTTTGATACAAGTGACGTTTTAATACAAATGGTACCATTTCCCCTGATTTATCATCTTCCATTGGCCTTTAATTTTCGTATCTTTTCATGCAACACACATACTCGAGCTAAAGTTTTTCAAACGGCAAAGCAGCAGGTGCTTCTGACTCTTCCAAGTCGCACATGACAAAATAAGAATTCGATAAGAAATCGACCGAAATTGAAACGTTTTCATTTCTCGTCGACTCTGTTTCTTTTGTATCTCGTTGAAACGCGGCAGCGTTGACTCGCGAGAGCAGCGAGCCATTCAATCGGTTCGAGTCCGTCGCACCGAAATTTTATAACTTCTAATAAGCGGTGGAGCGGTGAAGCCGCGCTAGAAGAAAGACCAAGAGACTAATTGATTTTGACGGGTCCTCGAGAGTACCGCAGAGACCATACCTACTCTTGCCAGCCTACTTCCTGTCAGTTTTCAGCCCGGTTTTACGATTATTCGTGCTTCGGTGTGGCCGAGGAGACTTTTACGAGGCACAAAAGACCCGCGTCTCAGATTTGTTCGCCGCCAGTGGTTGTTAGCGACAATTCCTTTCATTCCTCGCTTTTTCTTCCGCCGTTCCTATCCGTTCTCTCGCTCGAATCACTTCGTGATTGTCTTGAACCAGCTGGCAATACGAGAAACTCCAGATATTCCGCGACTCGCCTGTTTCGAAATTAATCGAACACGAACTTTTAAAAGACACGCGTAGGTTCCTAGCTCGATGATTCGAAGGTACGAACACCCGCGAGCAAACTCTGCTTCCACTAGGGGAAAAAATAACGTGGGGATAGGGTCTTCTACCACTTGGTAAACTTACTCCAGATAGTGACATAAATGTTAAATCGAATGTTAATTTGGCATACATTTCAGTACTTCCAGATATCAAGTGGTAGGAGGCCTTTCTCTTACGCCACTTTTTCCCCTAGTGGAAGCCGAGTTTGCTCGCGGGTGTACTTTGTATCCGTGTTCAGGGAGTCGTGGGTAAGGAATGGACATCGGTATCGAAACAGGCTATAAAATGTGCCGACGGAGTTTGAGTAGTTCCATCGGACACTTTAATTCGGAGGGTAATAGAATGGTACCCGAAAATCGGTTAGCCGTGAAGGCGTAGGGATCCGTTTTAACGTATTTATTAAGGAACCGTTCGCGTAATATGACCATAAAATTATTTAATTGCCCATTCGATTCCGACCCATGAACTACTTCCCATTCGTAGATCCGTTTATAGACAATTTTATCCATTTTAGTGATAATAACAGTCTACGACGCAATCTGGACTGCTCGGTTTTAATCACCGTGTTTAATGTTCCCAATACATGTGTACACTCTTTCGAAAAGTATCTACACATTTCTCAAAAATGTCTTAGTCATTTAGGCGTGAACAAGGAACTATTGTTGATACAAAACAATAGATTGTTTCAGATACACGTAACCGTCTTACGTTTTTGAATAAACCTGTTTTGTATTTTGAATTTCTAAACTCTTATTAATGCCCTTATTCGGCACAAGTTTCGGTTTTTTGATAGCATATAAATTTTTGAGATGTTTTTTATTAACAGGTGTAATTTACGGCGTGTTCGAACTATTGGACAGTATCTGAAAATGAATCATTTATCTATTCCTGCTACTCCCATCGGCAACGTAGTTCTAAGGAATGTTGTTTGCATGCCGAAGGTGTTATCGCAGTCTGCAGGTCGTGAGAGTAATATCGCACGATGATTATTTCCCTTCTTGGGCCAGATAAGAGTTTGGATATTCGCGTTATCTCTGGTGTGCGCCGGCTGGGCCGAGACCCGAGGTCAAAGACACTTCAATGATATACGAGCTCACATATGCGCGATACAGATCGATTGATATGAATTTAGAACAATGCCAACGAAAATGAATTGCTCAGAGGAATCGATATCTCAGTATAACATGAAATATACTATCAAATATGCAAACAATTTTTTAAGGTAAATTTCAAAAGATTACTGCCAATCCCATTAACAATATCCGTTTCGATCTTCGAAGTAGGTATCATCTGAGTCATCGACCAATTCTCATACAACGGATATGGTATTGATGAAAGTATTGAGTCAATTGTTTTCATCACAGTTCAACTATGGTGAAACTTAACTTCATTCAGACAAACGGTGCGAAATGTATCATCCTTGACAAACGGGATACCTCACACAAAGGGCGACACAGTTAATTTCAGTGGGTGTCGAAATGACCTTGCGATCGCTTTAGATCTTTTCGTATCATGCGGCACGGTACTTAGAATTTCGCGAAACGTGTACCGATGAACCATTTCCAAGTTGTGAAGCGGAGGCGAGGGCTTCTCCCTTCCGTTTGATCGGAGTCACCGCGTTACAGATGATTCATAGCGAGCCTGACGTTGCCCTGCTAGCACGATTAGCGTGTCTGGCCTGGCGCCCGAACTTTCAAGTAGTTTTCGGGTAACGGACCAGCTTTCATAAGCTAACCCACCTTGGTATTCCCAAAAAGTCAGCAACATAGCTCGAGGCAGGCGCGTGCTGTGTTCGCGTTGGATTCGCGGTTACTCGACTCTCGAGCTTAATCATCCGTCCACGTTCCCATCGTACCAGGAACAAGGGATATCGGGAGCCTGATCTCGTGTGAGGTGCTGCTGTCTGGTTTAATCAGTGACTAAACCTGTTATTGAACCATATTGCTCCCCTAATAAAGGAGCTGTGCCAATTTTTGCATTTATATCACCGGCCGTGAATTTCATCCGAGCCGCTTCGCCGAGATACAAAAATAAAGACATTTACTCGTTTATAGCCGATCATTGGTACTCTTGATGTGCGCAGATAGGGTATTCGCATGTAACGCAAGAGTTAACTTCTGTGAGAAGTATTCCTTCTCCATAAACTCGCTTTTTTAGGCTCCTTCACCGGTCAGGCATCCCTCTGAGGAAATTGTTGGTATTGTGGAGCAAGAACGCGTTCTCGTTGAGAAACCACTTGTTAAGTTAAATACAATTAAACGGTTAAGACAGTAAGCTGCGTTGATTTGTATTACGATAACAACGATAACTCAAGCTAAATAAAATGTAGTTTCATACGATGTGTGCGATGTGAAAAATTATTCTAATCACTTTACTGCGTGAATAACTGCTGAAATAATAAATTGGAGGAAGGATGACGATGATATATATTTTGTTTTATGGTAGCGCCGCCAAATGTTACGCCAATTATAATATACGTGACTTTGTTTCCTTATTTTCCAGGTGAAGCGAACCTTCAACATTGACTTCGCTGATTTGCACTCCACGTTTAAGGATAATCATTACGACTGGCTTCCGGGGCCAAAAGAAATTCCTAAACAACTCGGAGAACCGCTCGACCAAGAGTATCTTGCCAAATTAGAAGTGAGTCCAAATACGTTTAATTTCAATCGTGTTTGTTTTTCCTACGTGTTCTAAACTACCGATATTAAAGGAAATAAATTTTACTAAAGTCCGCCAGATTATAAGAAGCTATTTAGTATTTTATAAATATGTGCGTTTAAAAATGAACTATTTGTTTATAGTTTTGCCTAAAATTTTACTTTTTACTCACCTTGTTATGAACTTTGTATAGATCTCTTAAATGTATTGAGGCTTTCTGTACCTTCTGATCAACATTAGCAAAATGTAATTAAAGTAAAATATCGTTGTAATACTTATTACAATAACGTAAAAAAATCATGTTGTTATCAATCTTCGTTGAAGCAATATTCTCAGAATATGACGATATTTCAATTTGAAATATGCTTTTTCGATATTATGATTGTTTCACTAAAAGCGATTAACTCCTTCTACAGCTCGACACGGCCCTTATCGATGCATACGAATACATGCAAAAGTATGCAGTGGGTTTGGAGCAAATAGTTTGGGATCAAGAGGATCTTCAACTCGAGTTTCGCAAGCAATTTAAGGACACGGAGTACAAACTGCGAACGGTAAGCGCATATTTCCGGTTGTCGATCTAATTCCGTAGATTTCTTGAAAACGACAGAACAGCTTTCACAATGGTACCATGTACAATTAGCCTGAATCACATTGCCTTCTATAGTCGTAAACGCAGTAAAAACGTTACCTATTTTACGAGTTTTGCGTAAAGTTTACGCGACTAAATGTTCCAACCATAACGCAAAAAAAATTTATGGTTTTATCGAGCCGATTGCTAGTAGAGTTCCCTGGTTCACAGTAGGTACTGCTGATTCTGTAGGTACTGGTATAACATTGCAGAAAAATCACAATACGCTTTTCACATTTGTAAAATTATTTCTCAGTCTATTTTTACTTTTGAGACGGAAGAGCTAAACCTGTCCCTTACAACAATTTAAAAATTATTTCAGAGCTATAAATATATTTTTATAAATACAGAAAATTTAAAGTAACATTATAACAAGTTCTTTATTAAATGAAGAAAAAGTCTTAGAAAAATTGCTCTCATTGATTGTATTTTCATTTTTCATTGTACTTCAGAGTCGCATGTAAGTAGGTGCCCAAATAGCGGCATTTGGCTCGCGAGCCGCAGTTTCCGACCCCTGTTCTACACCAAGAGCAGGAAGAGCATTATATAAATGAAAAGCTATGAGTTACAAATAGAAAATGAAAAACAGTTTTTCATTCTTTTCTCCATGATGCTGATCATTAATATCTTCCCATGATCTTGCTCCTTTAGTCAATACATTTCACTAGTAATCGTATAAGGGAAGTTCTAACGCGTAAAATTTTCTTTCCCAGGTTCTCTGCGAGTTACAAGTAGCACTAGTGGAGCGTCAACTATCGTCGCGGCCGGACGTCACCCGCGACATCATGAAGTCCGAATTCCGGACAATGTCTTCATCCGAGACGTATCGAAATCTACGCGATTGGCTGATCTTTCGGGATTACATGAACGGCCTCGAATACGTGGTGCAGGTGTTTGAACACTTACGCCGCGGTCTTCAGTCCTGAGGATGGCAGGGCGAAAGCCGAAGAAGGGCTACCAGGCGACGACTCACCCATCTAAGGAAACCGGAACAACCTAGTCTGGATGGTCAGTTTTCCTGAGGCTACTGAAGAAGCGGTTATTAAGGAAAAGTGCCTAGGCGTGCTCTGTCAAGCAGGCCAAGGGTTACCGTCCGTCCCGGTGTCCAGTTAAGACGCATCTCCGTGGCGATGACTGACCTATCTATCGGGCACGGTCCAGCGACTGAAAATACTTCACCGTGATACACCCGATAGATACTCCTTATCGTCAAAGCCGCGAATCAGTCGCGTTCATCTGTATCAAGTTAAGTACCTTTGAGACAGGTTTCCGACGGAAGTCATTGTCGAGTCTCGTTGATAACGCGATGAAAACGCGATCGTCGATACTTGCCAATGAGGATTCCATGGAACAAACCGGGAAATGGAGAAACATGGGTAGCAGAGTCGTATGATAAACAGTCCGTTGGCTTTCGCCGCCGAGTTCACGATCGTGCAAGACATATTATTCTTGTATACGTTTACGTTAAACCACAGTACATTTCGTGTACTGCGTATGGACACCTGTGTTCGAACGTGTGATGAGTGATGTGCGAGAAGATGAATACAAAAAGAAATGGGACAGATCCGCCACGTAATATCAATTTTGAACGATGTCATCTCTCTTCTTTGAGCTCTCGAGCACCCAACGAAATATTGCATGCAAATTTTATTGTCCGTTTTCGATGTCGTTGAATGTTATTCGTCACGGTTGCTCGATGTTGCTGTCTCAAATCTGTGCCATGGAAATTCTACCGTGAGATTGTCATTTCCAATGTTTTATTACTAAATCTCATGCATTACCTCTATCGAAACAATTCGTTGATTCACTTGGTGTGATTTAAATGTTTCAAGTACTAAAACAAGTATCTACATGTTCGTTGATGAAAAATTCAAAATGAAAAGACGCAATCGGAAAAACAAATTGTTCCTGAGAAATTCATGAACGATCGTTGTTTCCGACTTTGTTGGTTCCTCTTTTTTCTTTTGAATGTTTTCCGTCAATGTTCCAAGAGCAACCGTACCGATACCACGACTTGGCATCTCATTGAGAGATATTAAGAGGAACGAACGAAACGTGAAGTGAGCTCGAGGAGACAAAGGAGACGAGGAAAGGCACACTCGCGCACACGTGTGGGAGAGAAAATGGATTCCGAACGGAATCCGATTTAAACGAGCTTGTGCACCGCAGCGGTATTATATCCTAAGTACACAAGAAAATACAGTATTCGCGCTTTAAGTTAGACTATTCGCGTCGAGCGAGAAGAAAGTAAAAAAATTCTGCGCATAGCTATTTATCGCGTGGCTATCACGCGAGCAAAGAACTCCACAAGACGACGTCGTTGAAACGTCGAATGAGGCTTTGGCCTAAGATTTATTTCTGGCCAAATCGCCCGCGCATCCTCCCCCCACCCTACCCCCATTCCCTTTTTTAATCCTATATAATAATTTATTGTAGAGAGAGAGAGAGAGAGAGAAACAGAAGGATATATATTTATATATATATGTATGTGTATATATATATATATATATATATATATATATATATACACATACATATATATAATATATATGTTATTATTATTATTAGTAGAATTTTAATAGTATCTTAACGGAATAAGAAGGAAACGCATCGACGCGGCCCGACGCCATTTTACGTTACGCGCCGCGCTACTGCTGCTATTCCCTTCGTTTGACGTACCTTTGCACGGTATGAAGATGTAAATTTCGATAACGATACATATATATATATATATAATGGGCAACGCCTGTTCTCCACCCGTACTTTTTATTCGATGCAATGCCCGCGCGCTAAAAGTGAAGCGTATCCGAACTAGGTTTTAAATTGATTTTTATATCCGACATTGCTTCAACGGGCAACATTTGAGATTCTCTTTTCCTATTTTTTTATCAGTTTTGTGTTTTTTTTTACTACTCGATACCGAGGTCGATACTTATCACTTTTTGTTCTACCGACATTTGAAAAGACTACCATGAGCTTGTCGAGACATATATACCCTTGGGCGACTTGAAGGTTATTTGATTTTATTCGTAATCGAAACCGCGCAGCTTTAACTATCGAATCGTAGAGTTTTAATCGTTCTGGAATTTATAACTGTTTTACTGGTACAAACTTTTGTCAGATTTTATTCTTATATAGTTTTACGAACTTTCCCGCCGCGAGGGTGGTGTCTCGTGAAGCCTGGACTCGATACTCATTAATCGACTTCCCAGGCCCCCTTTTCGTACTTATGATTTATCGCCGAAACTTAAATACGATTAAGCATTGCGTTCAACGGAGTAACATCGGACCGTGTACTGTCTTGCTAAATTCCCATCTCGTTAGCGGCCTGCAAGTTTGTCATAGATCGCGCAAGTGTCGCGTTAAAGGACTCACGGCTAAATCGCACACGTAATCTTTAATTGTACGCATACGCACTTTATACGAAACGCATTTTCATTTCCATATCATCGTGTCTGTGATATGCATCGTCGAACGTTCCCCCATGCGAATAATTGTTATAGTTGAATCGAACTGCTTGATTCTTCTGCCGAGCTAGAAGAAGAAGAGGGAGATAGATTGAAAGAGAAAGAAAGAAAGAGAGGGTGAGATATAGGGAAGAGTAGGAAGAAGTGTAAAAGTGAATGAAAAAATGTGTACGAGCGTGAAAGGAACAGAAAGAGAGAGAGAGAGAGAGAGAGAGAGAGAGAGAGAGAGAGAGAGAGAGAGAGAGAGAGGCCGATCTGTGTGGCAATGTCGATCTCGTGAATCGATCTCGAATACGTATTTCGTTTTTATCACGTCATTTTATACATTTTATTTAAATAGACAGCTTTTTATTTATATATATATATATCTATATGTTAAAATTCAGAAACGTTGTTGAAAGCAAATGGAGAAGAACCACGGCAATTCAATAATTTGATCAGAAGCAGCAGCGCGGCCTGTTGAGAGCGTCGAACAGTAAAAAATCCTACTGATTGCCGATTAAGATTCGTTTTTTTTTCTCCTCTTGAAATGGTTTCTCAAAATTTGTTTTTGTATCGGGGTCAGCGTGAATACACGCTTTGTTGGCGATCCTCTCTGTCTCTTGTTATCGGAAAAGATATACATATATTTGTGTAAAGATATACGTGGAGCGTGCCAGGCAAAATATCGATCCGGTTGGTTCTTCGCGTTTTCCTCGAACGGTTTCACTCGTATGGAAATTCCAGGCGAGGCGTTCTCTGGGGATCGGTATCGTTGACCCCAACGATAGGAGACGTGTCGCCGCCGCTTCGGTAATGGTGCCTCTGACACGCTTCGCGCAGTCGTTACACACGACACATGACAAATTTCGTGTATAATAATTACGGATTACTTGGTATATGCTGTACATAAACAGATCTGATGATATAGAAGCTGCAAAATATAATTATATATGTGAATATGTAATATGTACACGGGCCCCTGCCCCCAAAACGCCCGCTCTGTTGTATCATATTAAACCAAAGACAGTTCAACATGAAATCTCATTTGTAATTTATTTCACCTCGTTAGATACCTTCCCGTTTATTAACAGTGCAATTCCCAAGACTTCTTCACCGTTTATACATGAATGTATCATTAATTTTATGAGGTTGACAATTGCTGAGCTACTGAAAGCTGAAGGCTAATTTATAAAATGAAAAGATATTTTCTTGCTTTCATTCATACACAAACGATCAGCATCTAAATCGTAATATGAGAATGAGGAGCGAGCCAACTTCAACGGTAATTGGGGTGCTAGGAAACAAGCACTTTCACGATTTCCTATTATGAGAAAAAATATACATGATAGTTTTCTTAATTTAATAATTAATAAAATAGTTTATCCAGCAGTCTTACTTCTTTGTGTGTCGTGAATTACTTCTCTACACATTTCTTAAACTCCTTTCACACATTTGATCAGGCTGCTAATTCATTATGAAAGCACGAAAGCATCCGTGTATCAGTGTTAATTTTAACAGATCAAAATTCATTTTCATGCAATGAAGTTAAAATTTTATATATCAAATTTTTGTGACAAACAGTGAACATTTATTTCAAAACTAACTTGGACGATCAACAAATATTTACATGTTTAGATATAATTCAACTTTTATGAAATTACATGGCCAGCACCACTACTTTTTCAATTGCATTTAATTCTACATAGTACCATGCGGTTTTGTTACAACATACTGTTTACTGTACATTATACTGAAGATAAAAATAATGAAAGTAATTTTATAATTTTATCATGTTTGGCAGATTACACCATTTTCATCTCTTAAGTCGTTGTAAATATTTGGCATTTTCCAAGGTATACGAAACGCAGTTACTGAAAAAAATTAAATAAACACGAAGTTCTATAATAAAAATGTTATCGTAGCAAGAATCGATTGCTACTTAATCCCATTGTTGACTTTCTGCCTGAGCAAGAAAGACTTGTCGTTTCCCATGATCAATGGCCGAGTCGTGCCGTCGGTGCTGCCTACGTCGTCGATGTTTGAGAGGAAACGCGTAAGTACATGATCATCATCCCGGGCACGGCTCTGTCCCAAGCCGCCGTGTTTGTCCGCGCTGTTAGCTCGTTGTCATCGCTCTCCCCGGCTTACCTTCTCATAAGGATTTCTACTTCACTCGTGCTGACCCGTCTGTTTGACGATCCATGCCCATTCTTCCCTCCTCTGTCCTCAGTCCAGGTGGTTTCCCGAGCGCCGCCAAGGTGTCAATGTTTTGCGTAGCCATTAAGATCGTTAGTCCTCCTTCCTACATCGGCGGGTGTATTCGGGCGGGAGAACGATCCGTGGTATCGAATTCTGGTACCATAATTATACGGCTGACAAAGCACGGCTCTTTAGCATTTCTAAATATGAACGTCAGTGTCGTTCGGTAGGTATCGATTATGAATTTGCTTTTCGTTTCAGTCGAAACTAATACGGGCGACGAATAGGTAGAATGAGAGGTGAAACCGACCACGATCATTCACGGAGACCGTGCCTTGT